CTAGGAAATCTGTCGAAACGATAATTGTGACAACCGTGGCCCGATTTCGAGCCAGCTTTCATTTTCCTCTGGAATTCGATTCTTATTCTGGAATTTCGTTTTTTTTTCTTAATACAAACGTCTATGCGTTTCCATCTCATGTCCCTCTTCGTGAGCCACGTAAATGCCACTTGGCGTTCTTGCACCAAGTCGGAGTTAGGATTATTTTTCTATTAAATTGAGATCGATGGGCTTTCGGTCGACGAGTTCATTGGACGAACGACCCCGGGGATAGCGGATGGCTTCGCGAAAGGACGGTGAAAAAAGCTGCATGGCGGCAGAAAATTTGGGTCGGTGCGATGGCCAAGAGCAAGTAAAATTAAGGTCGCGAAAGGAGGCACGCCAGCTGTTGCGTAAAACGCGAGTATGTAACACTTTTGGCAACAGATGGTCGAACGGTATTAACCTTTTAACGGTGATCGACGGGCATACTTATATCGTCGAGAAACGAATTACCTCGTGCCGAGAAAATTGAAACTCAAAGACGACAAACGCATTTGTTCGATTAAAATGAATAATTCGCGTAGGCAGTAGCTGTTCAAACCCAAACGAGGACGGAGCGGACGATACAGGATTTGTCTTGTAATTTTGCTAGCGCGTTTCATACTTCGGCTGGCCTAGGTCTGGGTCTAGCGAGCCTCTTCCAAGTAGACTGGCTCGGGGGTCTAGGTCACGTCCAGTTCGAGACTGGACTCGCTTCGGGTTACGTCTACTTGGCCCGAGTCAGGCGGCTGAGTTACGATCAAGTCCGGTTCGAATTGGGTCTTACTCCGGTCTGGGTCGACTCCGATCCAGTTCGGCCAATGCCACTTTTGAAGCTGCATCCACTTAAAATTATTCCAGAATCGCCCGAGTCAAGTGTACGAGATTCCATACGAGATGCACGTGAAACAGTGCTGTTTCAATTACATTATAAAAAATAGCAAGATTCCTGTATCGCAGTATTGAAACGGTAATAGAAATTCATATCGCTGCAAAAGCTTGGGTATGAACGTCTGCAGTGTGATTATTATCATGGGAGAAGGGTGGAAACCGCGAGATCGGATCACAGACTTTATACGGAATTATCATTTTTATTATTCCGATGACCCGTTCGCCAACGAAGAAACAGTCTATTAAAAGAGTTCGCTCCTCGGCGAATAACGATCCTATTACCCTGCTGATTACTCGGGACATGGGATTCTAGGATTCGCTTTAACAGTTCAATGGATCGTTATGCGCTCGGTTTTCGCGTGAATCGCGTTCTTCTCGGAACACTTTCGAGCCAGACGGACGTCCGGCAGCCGCGCTACCATTACTCGCGTTGTGCTCCATAAAACTCGAATCCGCGGGGCTTTTTGCTGGGACGCCAGGGAACGTTTCAAACGGGGACCAGTCTCCCACGAACGTTCACGGGATATTAAAAATTCATACTTGGTCGCCGGGGTCTCGTTCTTCCGCGACATATATTTAAACGTCGTCGTTTCTCTCTTCGTCTGCTGGAGAAAATGTGCGCAATATGCAAATAGCATTTACATCGTCACGGTCATAAATATTACGGTAAAAATAAATGCAGACGTCTTCAACTCGTCGATCGACGACCGAGGTATAAAAAGAAAAATGTCGATACTTGGAAAATAATTATAAGAGCAGAATTCGTTGCTAATCTAGATTACGCAATCGCGATGGAAAAACTGGGCAGCTTGGATGTGCAAACTGTATAATCATACTTTCACTTTTAAAAACGAGGCATTATGTTTATCGATAAAAAACGGGTAATTATGTTGGTCGCGGGTCGGAGCGTGATCCCACGTTACAGTACGCGAACGTGCATTCGGGTACGACTAATTACTGGATTAATCAAATAGTTTAGTGTACAATTTAAAGCGATTCGATGCAGGATGTTTTGCAACCGGTTAACGATCTCGACCAATTTACTCGGAGAACATTGTTTATGGCATACATAGATATGATTCATTGAAAGAAATCATGAGACTGACCCGGAAACCGGATTCTACGACTTAACCGCGTACGGGTGAAGCGTGCCACCGATCGGATCTTCTTCTGGCTTTCGCATTTTATCAAGTCGATGAGCCGCAAGGTCGAATTTCCCTTCACCACGCACGATCGATCGCCGAGCTTCTTTCCGATCGACTTTCGTGGACGTTGACTCGAAGTTTCGTTCGTCGAATTCTGTGAACCGGCTCGGGACTTCGCATAGTCTACGCCGACTGTCCGAAATAATTGTGCGTCACGCCACGACCCTCCCGTCGTCGCGTGATCGTGCCAGGTTCCTGCAAAAACTGGCGGATCATAAGGCTTCCACGGACGGGGAGGCAGAAAATCGTGCAGCTGTCCGTTTCGTTGATCGATATTCGTCGTGCGCGACGTTGCTCGCGAGACAAAGCTGGTTTTAATGGGCACCAGGCATCGGCCCGTGCATGCGTTCGCCTGCACGCGAACGAAATATTTCAAGAGACGAGAAGTCGTTGCGTTTCGTGCGCGCGCGATTGATAATAATTCCCGAGGCCTGTTGCGTCGCGGATCCGTGCCCGCAATCTGTGCCGATCTCCTTTGGCAACAGGATGTTTAATTAAACTCCATCGCACGAATGCATTCGCGGAGAAAAACCCGTAGGGCTTCGACCGCGACTCGAGTTCTCACAAAAATCAAAATGCACTTCTGCTCGGATTCAGAATCGTGCGACTACTAGATCGTTTTTAATTACACTTGTTACTGTCTTGGTGTATCTCGAAGCACAGCCTTTCGTATCTCGTTTGTAAAAATATTCGTACGAAATATTGAAAAGTAAAAAAATGATATAGACTCTTATCTCGGCGATAAACAACATTTTTTATTTTGTCCGAGAACAATAGATCGCGATGATTCAGAGTGCATATCAATTTTTATTACGCGTTCAGCCTTACCGAGCGTGTAATTATAATCATTGGTAGTTAAACTCTACTTAATCACTCGATTATCAGTTCGTACAGTTCGCTCGGTGGTACAATCGTTTTTACATCCGCTCCAAACCTTTCGATTCTCCGTAACAACGTATCGGTATCGAAGCCTATTGATAAAACTGCGAAGGTCGTAAGGAAAGAGATATATCAAAATTCTGAAGTGTCACGTCAGCCGGTCGGTTCAGCGATGCGATTGACCAAAGCGAGAAGGAGGCCGCGCGTTGCGTGGTCGCTGGGATAGGAAATTAATTTGCATTATCGAGACTCGGAGGCTCGCTGGAACGCGGTAACAGGTATCGAGATAAATTTTATTCCACAGATTCCACCTGACGAACACCCGTTACTACTTCCAGCTAACTGTGTTCGCCTACCTCCGTCCCTATTCTCTTCCGATCGATCCCCGTTTCGCCAATGAAAGATACATTCATCGGTTCGACGTTATTAAACGTTAATTACAGGAGTCTATCTACTGGCCATCGAACGGTATCCGCGCTCGGCGTTATCGGCGTCGATTAATCGCCGTTAAGCACCTCGGATGATCCTCGTTTGCATTCGCGTTTTATTAATACTACGAGGATTGCGAAACGACGCCGCGTGCCGATCGACAGAAAAAATGTTTTCATTCTCTTTCTTCGACGATGAGTCAATTCGTCGAGGTGAACACATTTCTTCGATGGTTCTCTCAGACGCTGCGAGAACCGAGCGGTAGAATTTCAGGTTTTCGAGTATGATGGAGTTTCTTAAACTGTACAACTCGTTTCTGAGTATCTCATTCGATGCGAATTAATTAAGAGATGAATACAGTTGGGTGATTATCATTTTTCGTTTATGTTTTTATACCTTTTAGCTTGCAATAGTAATAGACCGACGATTCTCATCCGGAACGAAGCTTTTAGCATAGCTATTTAAAGTATGAAATTTAAAAAGTATTTACATTTAAACGTCATGATTTACATTCTGCTGTTAATACTTATTGCCTTGAAAGCACGTAGAACAAATTTCTTAGCACCCTTGAAACGTCGAGCGTATGTATTTTGCAATACTTCATTCACTTGTATATGTCATATGTATTTTTCACATTTTCTCTAATTGCACAAAGTCTGCAGTCTAATTACGTAGTGTAACTACTATTACATTATGTACGCATGTAACGTGTTCGTGGTTATTATGCGTTCAGGTTAATAGCCGGGAAAAGCGTACCGAGATTATAGTTATCAAAAACTTCTTTGTTCCGTGACGCGGTTGAGTAATTTTCAAAACAAACTTCTTAATAGGAACATACCGTCTCGCCACGCGCCATGAAATATTACTCGTTTCCTCCGCACTTTCGTAATTGATATTATGGACGATTTTAAAAATTTGATGTAAATAGTCAAGAGCTCACTACCGTGCAGGCGTCGAAAGATTATTCGAGGCTTTTTGCGACGATCGTTGCAAGAATTAAAAGGAGAATACTAGAAAATGTATTTCAAATAGAAATCTCTTTCATCCTTTAAACAGTGAATCGGGCATTTCGGGTTTGATATTTTGTACATCTTTTCATGCATCACTCGCAGCGTTTATATTTAATTTACGTTCGACTCCCTCGTAACTGCATGGAATCTGATCACGACTCATTGAACGATGCAACGATACGTTTTTCCCATAGAATTTCTGTCTCGTAAGCCCGTAAACATGGTCTCCACCGATTTTCTCTGTCGCTTTCGGCCCTGACTACATGGGCATAACATCCATAAACACTGCACCGCCTGATAAAGAAGCGAATCTAAAAATAGACGAGCGAATCTAAAAAGATGAGAACCGGCAGGAGGGAGGGAAGCAGCTTCGAATTCGATCTCGAGGTTCGTTCAAGTGACTCACCCTGTATATTCCCATCTGTTCCCAATGCCCATGGGGTCCACCGGGCATCTCCCTACTCGATGGACCAGTGCAGCGCGAGCCGAGTTCGCCGCCGTTCCCTCCCTTCACGTTTCCCCACCGTGGCTCGCCCGACGACCCTCGAACGGCCCCCTATTCAAAGACTTCGTCCGGCGTCTGTCGACAGTTAGTCGCGCGACGTTCAACCTGCGATGCGCGTCTTCGTTTCGTTCGCCGTCGTATTTCGCGCCCCGTGACCCTCGTCGATTCACCCCGTAGAGATTTCCCAAACGGAATTTTCCCGGTACCGTCCCTCTCGACCGTTTTCCCAAATCTGAGGAGGACTGGTGCAACAGGTCTCCACGTACGTGTCCGAGCCCCCGTTATCCGGCGGTGATGCACAATTTCGTTTCGAAGCGCGCAGCGCGATGCACCGTACGAGTTTTGGATATTTATTAAATCGTTGAGGCGTCTCGGAAGACAGAGGATTTCGTCGAACACCGGAATCGAAGAGAAATCTGTCGTCCGACGAGGCAAGAATTATTGTAGGATAAGAGTCTGGTATTCGTGGATCTGAAAAAGTGCGTAAGAGTGCACCTGTTTGGAAAATCGTGAGCCCTTGAGACAAAGAAAAGTCAGAAGAGTTCCGAGAAGAGAAAAGGTCGTGGAATTCGAGGGGGGAAAAAAATTGTGGAGGTTGCCTCGAAGGCCACGGGCTACCTGGCACAGATAATCGAAGGAGAAGAAAGTTCGGTCTGGGTGCTGCTGCATCCGGTTCGGTCCACCTTTCTGTGCTCTCGTCTGCCACGATTTCGTGTGATTCATCGATCGTCGCGAATCTCTCCTCCCACCGAACGGAAATAAGTTCGATATTTTGGTGCGATACGAGAGCGAGAGAGACAGAGAGAGGAGCGCGAATGCCAGCGGGCGGATGATCACGCGCGTTTCTTCGCGTTGGAAAACGGAAGTAATGAGAGGTGTCGCGGGTGAAGTTCCACGGTGGCGATTGAATGGAGCTATTTCGAAGCGGTCTCTTCTGCCGTCTCTTCTGCCGGACGACGCGTCCCTCTCTCGTGAGTTTCAAATTAAAATACTTACACGCGCCCTGACTTACTAGGCAGGCCCGAACGAAACGTTTATTGGCTCTCATCCGTACGAGACCGAGTTAAATTAATGACTGTGTATCGCAAAAACATACGTGAATCGTAGAAGACAAGATTAAACTGCGGAGATTTCATTTGTCAAAGTGCATTGACACCAAACGCGAGTACGAGCTTGTTTCAATGAAATTAATGAGAAAACGGCTATTTCGATATAATTCCTGTTCGATGTCGTCGTATTTCATTCAACCGTGCTTTTTGTCCATCAACTTTTTCAGTCGTACGGGATAGATTGAAAGAAGGTGATTAGCCGCGAGTCTTTCATTCTTCAGAATAATAGATCGAAGCTGGTTTAATAAAATTAGTTAAGCTGCAGTTGTTGTTATTCGATTTTCATTGTTCCATTTTAATTAACTGGCTAATGACCAAAGATCGTAGTGTACGTGTCGTAAATTCGCACGATGGAGTTGTAAAGCCGAAAGTAATTTCGGCGTTACTCGAACGTAAGAGGCTGATCGAGAGTAACGCTCTTTCTCGTGGTCAATGGGTTAATCGTGTTAAAAAGTTTGTCGACGCAGTTGATTAGGAAAATGTTGCGGCTCGCGTTAATCCGTTTTGAATAGAATTGTTCGCGCACGGTAGCAGTACCTCTTGACCTTGTTACTTTATTACGGCAATACGCAAATTGCCGTGAACACGTCACTATGATTCATTATACGGTCCAGGAAATTACTAAATTAGAACGCTACTTTCGATTTCTCTCGCTCACCAGCCGACAAGATCAGCGAGATATCGCGTGAGTCGAACAACTCCTCTCAAATATTAAACAATACTCAGTATAAAATGGAGACGTAAACTGAGAAATCGTGAACGATCTCGTGAAAACTGAGAATTTATTCGAGCAGACGAAAAATTCGATTAGCGACTGATTCGAAACAGTTATTTGTTTGTATATTTTCCGCGGTATTTGAAAGGTCTTACGTTGTTCGCTTCTTGTAAGCTCTTCTTAAATTCGTTTTGGCATTCTCTGTTAAAATACCTGCGTCGTGATCGCAGGGACGACCTGGTAACAGGCAGGATTAATTATAATACGATCGAGCGTGAAGGCATTTCCAGGCGGACAGTTCCACGGTTAAAAGCAATTGTCCCCAGAAAACTACCGTTAAAGTGATCGTGACCTCGATCGAGCTTCCATAGATTCTGTATAGATCCGCGTGTAGATCGTCTGTACGTAGAACAACCGGATCAACGATTTTCCACCAAATTTCTCGCGATCGATACGAGCTTCGTTTCAAAAAGTGTCCCAGAGGTTTTTACAAATAATTTAGAGATAGCGTTAATCGTTGAAAGGGTGAGGTCAGAACTTTACAGCCAAGATAATGGTTCGAAGATAGTCTGCGTTCGGAGATTCAGGGAAAATTTCTCAAAATGTTTTATTCTAAATACCGAGTACCACGTTATAAAATTAATGTAAATTAAATACGAGGCGAGGCCGTATGAAACAATTGCTTTTTTGTGTTATTGGGTTTGTATGGATTTTATATTTGAGCTCGTTGATTAAATGGATTATCATGCCCGAAATCCTGACACATCTTTCGAGACCCTTTGACAGAATCATCGAGGAATCGTATCAAACGACAATTCTTATCGATGCTGCATATTCTGCACGTTTCTTTTTACGGATCTGACTCGTCGGGAGTTCGAAACTCGTAAAAACCGAATGATTCAGAAGCTCTTTCGTCACTTCCATCTCTCTGTTTTTCATTCCGAACCGAACGATGAGCGTGTAACGAATTAAAAAACGTGGAATAACGATTAGAGATTCCAGCTGGCACGTGACTATTCGCGGGCTGGTGCTATGAGATACGCCGTAGATAACGTAAAAACAGCATCTTAAAACCATGACGTAAGCCAGATATCATCTGGGCGGTATTATAATAAAATGTGTAAGCGCAATCTTCGCGGCTGCTCTTTCGAAATAGACTTGTTCGACGTCGCCGAAGCGCGAATAGTTAACATGGATGTTTGACAAGAAGCCCCGAGGGTGTCTGTTGAAAAATTGCACGACGACGCCTCAGTATAAGGAGTAAGAAGAAAATTCTATACAACTTTATTTGCAAGTGACAGTACAACTTTTATTCGATGGTTTCTTCGAAATTTCGAGACAAAAAAATTTTCCAACATTTTTCCAAGGCTTCAGATTTGGAAATTAAATACCAGAGTTGAAAGGAAAATTCATAGAATCGAAGTAATTAATCGATTAGTCCTGAATTATCGTGCGATCTTTTTCGTGCGCAAAAGACAATTGTTAGCGCATTCTTTGAACTCACTGTTCTTTCTTATACTGCGACAGCGCTCCGTCGGCGATCATGTCGTATTACGAGAACGTAGCAATCATGATTTTTAATTAACACATCAATTCAACTTGAGTCAATAAGAAATGTCAAAAAGAAATGATCTCGTTTGGTTGCAAATATTTAAACATCTGATTAAACGAACGAATAAATTATTTCTGCTAATTGACCATAACTTAGAAACTAATGAGAACTGTACACTATCGATTGAAATCAGATACGTCTTTGTACAAATCGTTATTAGTCCAGAACTATTTTTTCCGCTTCGATAGTCGAGTTTCGAGCACGTGATTTTTTGGTCGATCAGCGAATGACGTAAAACGGCGAACGGGGACTTGTCCAAAGTCGCGGGACCGTACAATTTTCCCCCGTGCAGACGATGACGTGCTCGCGGACGCCAATTTAACGAGGCGTTCGCTTCCTGCGGAAGGGAACAACGGCCTGGTTTCGACGTGCCGCCGTTTAAGTATTCGCGTGTAACCCTCCTAATTGCCAACGTTACCCACTGTGCACTTACGAGCTCATTGTCCATTACCAACGATTCCTGTATTATCAAAAACAATTTACCGTCATTTAAAGATGTATAGGCTATATACTTAAACATGTTGAATTTGTTATTATAGATTCCTATTACTATTAAAAAGCTACTTGTAAAA